CTCTGATGAATTTTACCCAACCTGAGTTCAACAGAATGGTCTCCCTGGTTCATGTGATTAACAAGAAAGACTTTGGGGACATCATCCATCATCAGCATCATCATCAGCATCTACATTTATGTGCCATCAGACTCCCATCCCAGCGACTCTACTTTTTTCCTTTGCTTGACAGTAAACTTTTCTGAACGTGTTGGCATTCACTTCTGAGTAAATATGCCACAAGCTCCTCTTCAAATGGTAAATCACAGCTTTTGCTTCCTAATAAAAGTGCAATTAAATGCAAAGTTCTTGTTTCTGTTGATGCGATGACTATAACATGCTGCTTAATACTGCTGTGTGGCTAGCAACGCCGACCTCAACTGTGCATCAAATGGGATCGGGCTCCCTTCCTTAGCCACCTTATCACTGTGACTTGAATTGGAATTCAATTAACTTGGCTAACATCAATAGGAAGAAGTCCTGTTCTTAAATTTTAATCTTGGTTTAAATCGAATTGTAAAGGGTTACATTCAAATAAACATAATCTCAGTAACTCATACGACTTTCAAGAGCTTTGTAGCGCAGTAATTGTGAACTCAGGAACGCTCCTCTATTTCTGAGCCAGTGTCTGCAAGTGTTGGGAAAAGCTCTTTATATAAAGATGGTTTTTGATAAGCAGATGTAGACAGGGCGGTCGGCATACCCAGGAGCAGTTTTCTGAACTAGCCATGCAGTTGACCTCGACGGAGCTGAGCTTTGCCATCTCCTTGTTTGTCATTCAAAATCAATCTCAATCAGTTCAATTAAACTTAACTTCAAAATCCGAAGCACATTTTCTGAGAAGGAAGCCCTCGCTCTCTTGAAGAGGGAAGATATCTCCTGAACTGGAGCAGGAAGGCTGTTCTAAGGTGTTTCTGTGGTCTTTTCTGCAAGATTTTAAGTTCGGGCCAGTAGGCTTTCTAGTGAGCTGCCCATTATTGGCTGGAACTAATGATTTCCAGCTGAACTGAAAAGTTTCAGTAGCAGTGTGTTTATCCCTCCTCTCCTCCCAGTTTGTTTTGATTTTTTCTCCAGTTCTAAAGACATCCTGCTTTGCTTCTTTCAGAGTCTTGTGACACCTGAAAGATTAACTATTTTATGATGGTGGAAGCTTCAGTCATGAGAATTTGCTTAATCGTATGTATAGCATGTCTAGTGAAGTGAATCTATTTCACGCATCTCAAGAAACAAGTTCTCGCCTATCGAAACTCGAGTCCTACAAAAGGGTTCGTCTTCCACGTGTCACAAAACTTCTAGACGAAATTCAAATGACACTCTAAGCCCCAACCCAGTGAATCCCATCTTAGCCTAGCGTGTTGTGGGAACCCAGGCCATCTGGTGAGTCTGTGATTTAATGTGTGGTGTGAACTCAGCGAGCCGATTTGATTCAGTAAACCATGGCTAACTACGGTGAGCCACTTGGACGAACACAACCTTTAGCTGCAGTCTGCATATACTCGCATTATAGGGCACTATCTTTATTTAATTCGGTGGGGATCCTTTGAGTAAAGCAATCTAGAACTGGACAGTTTCCCTACAATACATTTCTGCTTGACATAGCAGCCTGGTTTGAAACCACCAAAGTTTGGATACAAAAGTTGTCCCGCGCCGGCCTTCTGTACCTTGGAGGGCGCTTTTTAAGGATCCCGGAGATAAATCTAATAGGAAGAAAATCCCTTGTGGCTTTACCTGGCGTGCGCCTCTTTGCAAGCTTCGAGTCATCCGGAGCACTGGCTGAAGAGATGGCGAGTTCCCTTCCAGGGAGTGCATCAGGTCTAATTCGCCCACCAACCGCCCTCTACCCGGCTGTTGCCCTCCCTCGTTTCCTCCTCGCCTGGACTTTCTCCTCTTGGTAAAAGAAAGAAGTTGTTCTGTTTTGTTTTGCCGCGCTCTCTCCTAGGTCAGCCGCAAACTGTTTACAAGACCCAAGACCTCCCCAAAGAGGCCCTGAAGGGCTGCAGGCAAGGCTGTGTAAACCCGAATTTCATTCTCTGCCTTCGAAACTTTCACCCCACTCCGTGTTTTTCTTTAAAACTAACAGCTAAATCGCAGCACGGTAGAAAAGCAGATTTCTCACATTCCCATCCTCCATTACCGACTTAAAGCCGAAGACTGTCGGCGACTTGGTGTTGCATCAAGGAAAACATTTCCAAGAAAAGCATGTTTGGCATTTATTTGCACTTCAGGCCTTTTCTAAGCGCGTGAAAAAGCCAGTTCTTCAGGCTCCGTATCGAACATCGGTGTCATCCCCTTCTCAGAGGCCGCCGTAAGCTTGGAGGAACTCGAACGAGCGCAGGAGCGGATTGCGGAAGTTGGCATGAGTCCGTTTCCAGAACTGCTTCAGGACCGGGCATCCATTCTTCGGAGTGAGCATGCGCAAAGGATGGCACGCCGGAAATTACACGTGGAAAGAACACTCTTGATATAAGTGCCGTTAGGGAGTGGTGGAGATCTTAGATATCCGTGAAAGCTGGGGAGAATAATTGTGGGCCTGGAACAGGAAAATTACTTTGCGCTAATACAAAGGGTTGTAACTAACCTCTGCAATGGACTGCTCCGTATATTTCAGTAAGGCAAATTATCCCCACGGCACCGTAATTACCTAATATACCTCGGCAGCGTTAGAGCCCTGCTCCTAGAACTTTGCTCTCTTGGGGATTAATGTCTTATTTAAATGCCCTTAGGTCTGGGAGTGACTGCCAACCTAATGAAATCTTAACCATTCTCTTTACGTTTGGGTGTGAATCTCTTGATGATTATCATTACTTTTATTGCATGCTCAATCCCCTTGGTACAGTTGTGAATATGATTTATGACTCCCAGGGCTCCAAAGTAAGTGTTCTCAGTGGTACTTAACTTCCAGGTCCCTGTCCATAGGATCCCAGACCCACTACCTCGTTCTGTGTCTTGGCTTTTACTGGGGACTTTGAGTTAGGGCTCATGGCCATGTCTGTGGTCAGCCCACCTGAAGGCAACCCTCACCTGTCCCTTCTTGGTCCATCTCAGAAGTAGTGCCTTCTGCTGGCCCAAGCCATGCTTGTTGGTCTACCTGCTGCGCTTCATTTCATTGTGGGCAAAAGCCTGTGGTCCAGTTGGCTGCTATGTCCTGTGGTGGGGATGCCCCCTCCGCTTCAGTCATTGATGATGGCCCTCCACAGCCATTTTGTCCTGGACCATTGGGCTGCCTGCCCACTTCTGAAGGGACTTCTCCTTGTGGACCAATGAAAAACTGGACCTTTATTAACTGGTAGATTGGTGAAAGGATGGCCTTTTATCTTTTTGTCAAGTTCACTTTTTTTCTGGTGGGCCTTTTGTTTTTTGTTTTAAACAAACAGGTAAATGAATAAAAGTTCTGCAGTTTCCCCTTATAGCCCAAGTGATAGGGAGTGTCTTATTTTTTTCCCCCATGGGTATACATGCTGGATGGAAAGTGTCAAGTGTGAGGGGAAGTCTATGGGTGGAAGCCATATGTCCTCAAAGACTCACCCATGGAAAGGAAAGTGACAGGTACTTACTTTCCTGGCAGACATGAGAGGGGGAAAAGCAAGGGAATCCACCAACCAGGGTCCACGGTAACCACCAGATAGAGCACTTGGCTGGCATTGTTGCCAAAACTGAAGAACAGATTGAAATCTAGACAGCAATTTCTAAAGCTTGCTTCATTTCCAGCCAGTTTCAGCATGGGAGACAAGCAGCTTATGGGTGCTGTGCCAAACAGCCCTTAAGCTCAAGGAAATACAGAGCCTTGGCTGCTACCTAGACATATGTCTACTGAAGTAAAAACCACACAAATCTTTTTTTGAGATTGTTTATTATTTAGGCTTGGTAGGCTAGTTTCACAATACAGTAATTCTTTAAAAATAGATACACCTAACAAACAGTAACTGGGTTCACACACAGTAACAAGCCATACTGTGGTTTGTTTGGTTTTGGCTTAGTATGTTGAGTGAACTGAGCCATGGTTTGTAAACCATGGTATATAGATTAGAGTTGTATGTGAACCTATTCTTTATGGCATGTTCAACAAAGGAAAATTAAAATGACTATGGCATAAAGTGAAATATAATTTAGCCACCTGCCTAGTTTACATCTAGCACTAAGATCTAATGTGATTTGTTTGTTCTGGCTGTGTGAATCCAACACTTGTGATGTTAAACTGTGGTTTATATGACTTAGCTATTGTGTGACTTCAGCAAATGTAATTTATTCAATAAACTATGGTTAACACAAACAATGGCTTAGCACAGTATATGATCCCAGCTATGGCCTAGCTTAGTTTCTCCAACCCTCCCTATATTTCCCATCATCCACAGCTGATGCAACTTCTACAATTTCCATCATACTGCTGCTTCTGCCAAGCATTTTTTGAATGCTTAGGTCCAATCTCAGTTGTTTATGGGAAATTTAGCCTATATTGTCTCCTATTTATCCTATATCTCATACTGTATCCTACTGATCTAACTTGGGCTAAAGCATTTAAAGATGTATGTTCCCACAAAAAGAAGATGACAGTGATTTGTACCTGGAACATCCTGTTCTCCATTGCTCCTGCAAGAGACAGCCATGGCAATTGGAGCCCCTATATTTCTGTCCACCACATTTTTAAAAATATCCCACATATTTAGGTTGAAGCAACACACAAAGAGAATTCTTCTGCAAAATGAAGTTATTCTTGTCCATAAATCACTTTGGAAGATTAATTTTTTAAAGTTGATCCTAATAGACTATTATGGTGCTGTAGGCTTCTGAAACGGGGAAAGGAATCATGCCTGGGTTCAGGCTGACCAGTGTGTGATATTCTGTGCCTCTAATATGCTGTCCATGGGCAAATGATGCTCCCCTCCCCCCCAACATAATATCCCAGCACCTTGTAATTTTATTAAGGATGGGCATGAGGGAGGGGTATTGTGTTGAGGTCAGTTCACTCCTTTTGCAATCTGATTTTTCTCTCCCCCTTGTTCTTCCCCCCCCCTTTTTTTTAGGGAAAACAACGAAAATTCCAGTTCCAATGGCCACAATCCGCTTTCCTCCTCCCTCAACGGCAATAAGACGGTTTTGGGCAGTTCTGAAGATGAGAAAACACCCTCCGGCACCCCAGATCATTCCTCCTCCAGCCCTGCCTTACTTCTCAATTCAAACCCAGGCTTACAGCCACTCCACAGCTTGGGCCATCCTCAGGGTCCTAGCGCCATTCCAGTTCCCAGTGCAGACCCTCTGCATCATCACAGTTTGCAAGACTCCATCCTCAACTCCATGTCTTCAAACCTAGTCGATCTTGGCTCTTAAAAATACTTGCTGCACCCACCACACTCCCTGAACCCAGGCTCTCTCCATCTGGGTTGTCCTCTTCTTTCTTCTTCTTTTTTTTACTTAACTCCTCTGCTCCTACAAACCAAGGATTTGAAACCTTAGAAGGATCTATAAAATGGATCCATTGTTTCACTTTGGATCAATTGCTGAGCAGCTGTTAACTTATCTGGAAGGTACTGTAAATTCAGGAACATTGTAAGCTGTCCAAGGACTCAGATCTTAAGAGGATGTGGTGAACCTGATTGCAGAAAAGTGGAGGACATTACTGTAGGATGGGAGGGAGGGAGGATGGGGTGGCGGTTGGTGTAAAAGCTGTTCCTTTGAGAGAATGAAAGCTGGAAGCCTCAGCCCACACAACCTCTTGTATGAGATCTGATCCAGTTGGATTCCAACTTCTTAACCCACCTCTGTAGATGTACTTCAACCTGAACTGCAGGGATCAATTCATGAAGCTGTTGAGAACTGAAGAGCTGAAGCCAAAGCCCCATCAATTTCAGCAGGATATTGGGAAGCAATACGTTCTCCCCTATGGCCGCTCCCACCACCAACTGGCATCCTGTGGTATACCGCTTCTAAATCTGGAGGCTTTAATAACGGGGCAACACTGATAGATTTATCTGCCATGAATTTGTCAAATTCTCTTTTAAATCCATTTAAGCTAGCATTTTTTTTTTGCTCATGGCAGCAATCGCCTGCCCATGTCATTGCCAGAAGCTTTGATGAAAGACTTTCCTCTAGGGCAGGGAAAACCATGGCTCTTCAGATTTTGCTTCTTCCCAACCAGGCTGGGAATTGTAGCTCAGTGACAACTGCAGGGAGGCCCCACTGCTTTCCTCAGATCCAGAGGCTACTTGACAAGTTGACGATTCCATCAGGCTTATGGTGCACTGCAGGTGGAAAGGAATTGCCCAAAGGAAATTATTGGGACTCTTTTCCAAAGAATAGGATTATTTGCTCATTTCCAGGATCAGAGTGAGAGGACAATATTTGGTTTTCACCCCAGAGCAAATCTCTTTCCTTTTTTGGGAATTCATCTAGGTTGTGGATAGCAGTCTATGAAATGCTTTTTCTTGTAGGGCAGAAGCAAAGGGACTGATAAAGAAAGGGAAGAGTATAGCATGGTGTGGTGGTTCAAATGGGGGACTAGGACAGGGAGAGTCAAGTTCAGATCCACACTCAGGCATGAAGCGCACTGGATAACTTTGGGCCAGTCACACACTCTCAGCCAGCCTACCTCACAAGGTGGTTGTGAGGATAACATTGGAGTGGGAGTATCCTGTATGCTGCCTTCAGCTCTTCAGGGGAAAAGTGAGATATAAATGGTATAAATAAATAGAGAAGCCACACCTCTTAACTTATTTAAAGAGAAAAACATTTGTGATCATTGTACTATATGCCAATAGTCAAACGCTGCACTAGCCGCCAGTTTGTAAAGAACTCCTGGCTTTTAAGCATGACCTAGCTAATGCTGTTCTCCCTTGTAGCTGATGCTATGCAAAGCACGTGAACCCTGACTGGGGGGGAAGAGAGAAATGGGCTCCTTCGGCCTTGTATATTTCCCTACCACCACTAACCCAAACATTTAGGTGAGGAGGACAAGAAAGGCGACATCTGCAAATCACTTAATCCGGATATCTTGCCTCCACCTGATCCAGTGGCTTCAGAGGTGAATCTGGGTGAGCTTCTCAACAGAGCAAGCGCTCTTCCGCCTCAGTTCTTTCATCCGCAAAATGGGAACAAGGGCGATTCCCCCCAGAAGGCTCCTGGTGAGGTGCTGGCAGCGTTTTGCACACTTAACTTTGAGAGAGCCTCTATCGCTCATTATTATTTTTAATACTCCTATTAATTGCGTTTCCCCTTGAAGTCTGTGGGGCCACCCCACGTCAAGGTGCTTCATTAGCCAGTCTCGGGCGAGCCCTGGATCGCATCCTGGGTCTGCCCACGCAGAGCCCCGACGCCCCTTCAAACCAAGCGGGGCGAGCAGCGAGCCTCACGATAGCTCTCTCTAGGGCTCTACGAAGCCGCCGCCGCCGCCCCAACCGCGAGGACGGTTCCCCAGTCAGCCAGGCTCCCTCCAAATTTCTGTATTGTTTCTATCTTGTGAATACCGCCTTTGGAAAGATATTTCTGCTTCTATTTTATAATAAAATCGAGACATCCAGCGTAGTGGTGCAAAAAGTGAAAGCTCTCGTTTTTAACCGGCCGCCGAGCGCTCCTGGTTGTTTAAGATTTTCCAAATGTTTTAGACAAGTTAATCACCGTGAGCAAATGGCGCCGGGCAGCGCGGGCAGGGAGGTCTCTTGCGAAGGATGGCCGCAAGAGGCGGCGAAACCCCACAGCCAGGGCTGTGCGCGGGGTGTGGCCAAAACCTCCCGCGTCCCGGCACCTGAAAACAAACTGCTTCGATGGCGCCGCCACGGTTATCGCCATCCTGACTTTTTTGGCCACACCCTGCCCACTTCCCTGACAAGCGTAGTAACCTTCAGTCGCAGGGCCATCTTTCCCAGAATTTCTTAAAGGAAAATGAAAGAGTTTCCCCGAGGAAACGGACGTTTCCCCAAATTGGACGGGAAGACGCTTGTCTCTGTTTCCTGGATTACCGCAGGACGCTGCGTAACCACTTTATTCTAGGCTTTCACAAATTGAAACTCTCCGTAATCGACTGATCACCAGATCTACTTCCTTCCAAATTGTAAAGCAGAGGCTTTGGTTATTTCTGTGTTTCCCCCCTCCCAGTCCCTCTGTGCTCACTGCTATGTTTTCGTAAACCCCAGTTTTAATGCTCAAGGTTCTAGTCCTCTCTGAGTAGGTGGGGAGATGGATTGAGGCAACCAAATTAAACTTTATTTTTCCCTCCAAAAAACTACCTTCTACCATTTGTCTCTTGAAATTCCTGGAGGGCAGAGAAAATGGTGGTGACAGTGATGCAGCTAAAGAGAGAGGAGAAAATGGGTCTGACAGTGTAAATTCCAATGTTGGAAAACAAATTCAGTGAGGAATATTTGTACGAAAAAGTGTCTAGGACACAGAAAGGAGCGAGGGGAGGAGAATTGAAGAGAAGGGTGTCAGGGGCCAGGGAGCTGGCCAATTTAGGCAATAAAAGGTTCCAGTGTTTGCTCCTGCTAAGCTGGATACTGGAGTCCAAAGCCCAAATCAACTGAATGAGAGGCAAACAAAAAGTAGTTTCTTCAAGCCCCCAAGTGATATCATGGCACCATCTGTGATGCTTTCTTGGCAACACTTCAAAAGTGGCTTGTGGCTGCATTTTTCCAGGATGTTTTCTCCACTTCAGTCTCCCACCTAGGCCACAGCCCTGAGATTTTCTGGTCGTTTCCTATCCAAGTACTAACCAAGTGTGACACTGCTTAGCTTTTCCATATCAGCAAAATTATGCCAAAATCATTAGTGCTAGCCATATTGCAACCTTGGAGAGGTTTACCTTGAGTTCAGTAGGGTTGATCCTCACCAACAAAGGTATGATTGCTGTTGGATCAATTGCCCATTTGTTGAGCAAAATGGCTCTGGTGCCTTTGTCATGCACAGGACACAGAGACCTGACCTCTTTGCTATCAGCCTAAATGCTTTCAGTCATGAACAAAGCTTCCCCATGGATTACAGGTGAGCTCATGAGCTGCCAAAGAATTGTGCAGGGCTCACCCATTGTGCTGAAAAAGTCAAGAGGGTGATCATGATGGTACGACTGAACCTCTGCTGGATGTTTATGTGCAATGCTCATTAAGAAATGGGTGGGGCTTTGACTGCACTGTCATGGCCGCCATCTTGACATTTTTGACTCTGGTTTTGCTTTAGCGCAGTTCCACCACCATTTCCTGAAGTAAGACTGCTCCTGACCTTGTAAAGGCAAGCTGGATCTCTTCTGAAAAATAGCGTAGGACCACGCCAAATATGATTTCCTTCCATTTCCCATTATATTTAATTGAAATTAAATGTGCTCTCCAATTAGAGATGTATTTGTTTCCTCCCTTTCTCAAATGAAACCTTACAATTTAGTAACCATGTCTAGAGATCTGGTGGTGGCCAGATCAGGTTGTTCAGATTGCATGCCTGCACATCACCTGCTGTGCTGCAAATAATTTGCAGTTTGTGAACCATGGTTTATGGCTTAGTGAACCACTGTGGTTTAATCAACAAACTCTGATTAAGCAAACCATGAGACAGCATGGTGAGTGAATCTGATCAAAGTCTTGTTGCCAGTCCAAGTGTAGAATTAGGTGGTTTGGAAGATTGATCCAAAACTTCCTCCAAGCCTTGAAATGGGGGTGCTTACAGAGAGGCAGTTCCCTACCACCACCCTCCCCCATCCTAAATTAGTGTTTTCTTCCTTTCCTTTCCTAGGGCTTGGAGAATATAAACATTTCAAATGGGGCAGAGATGGATATGGGCACTTTTAAGAAGGTTTTCATGTTGCATTTGGTGGAACCAGCCAGAAGTCATTTCTGACATCAAGTCCTCTGGAGTAAAGATTGACTTCAAAAGGAACAAAATCATAAGTAGAAAAATCATGCAGCCTAAACACAAATGGGGGGTTCAAAGTCAAATGTATCTCTTGGCTCCCAAGTATGACCTTCTACGTCAGGGGCAATATACCTCAAGTTTATGGAGCCCACTTCAGTTATTGAGTAGAACCAAAGATCCATTCGCTGGAGTCTGGTCAAAGGTTGTGGAATCAAGAGGTTCTGAGCCATGGGCTGTGCTCTGAGGAGCAACTGAGCAGAATTCATAGTCCTGCCATCCAAGATCCACTCCTAGCTTCTTACCCCTAAAGCTCTCCTTGTAGTTTTGGTTGCCTGCTACTCTTATACAATTGTGGGCAGGAAACCTAACTGATCTATTATAAATCACATAAAAATCTACTAGTAGATCTAAAATCTACCTACTGTCTCCCTGCTCCAAATTAGATTATGCATTCTTTGTTTGGGTTAGACAATTCTGAATAACTATCCTCCCCCAATTTTTATATTAGCACTTTTCAGTGCCAACTGAACACCCTCAGCCCATCTGTAAACCTTAGGCTGAATCTAAAGGTGCCTGCCAATAATCATGGGTTGCAATTGGTGATCCAAGAAAATTATATGGCAGTCTTTCCCAACCAGATGCCTTCTAAGTTGTATTAAAATGCAACTCTGCTGTTCCTAACCAACACCATGCTGTCTGGGGATGATGGGATCTGCAGTCCACCCAGTTAGAGAAGGCTGAGAAGTTAGATCCTGCAGATCTTCAGCTTCTTAATGCACCACCTCTCCTGAGCTAAGGAAAACCTCACCAACTCTTGAGAAAATGTAGATGTCCCCAAGATTTGGCTTCAAAAGCACAAAGAGGATGTGAAACTAAGATTCTGCCCACAAAGATGGTCCAAGGCAAAAGGGGAGAAGGCTTCTACAGGTTGAACAGCTGCAGAGAAGAGGGCTTTCAAGCAGCTGTAGCTTGCCACAACCGTGTCCTATGCTGCTCTGGTTTGTGTTGGAACTTCATAATCCAGCCTATTTAAGAAGCTTCTGGCAACTGGAATTGAATTCCTTCTTCTCTAGTATTTGCTCTTGTTCAGTTAAGCTGGGATCAAACTTCCAAACAGCTAAATAAGTTGTTTGGCTTCAGTGCAGTTCTTCCTCATATTTATTCCAAAGAAATCTCTTTCTTTATAATACAGGGTTTACTCCCAGGTTAGACGGTGGCGGTAGAAAATCAGGCTGCTTATACCTGGCTTGAAACTGAGAACTTGACTGTTAACTTTGCAGAGTTTGTATTCTCAACTTTCATTTTTCCTTCTGTAAGTACAGTAGGCTGCTTTCATGGCAAAGATTATTTGAACACCACTGAAAGAGGAGAAGATGAGGTTAGACTTTGTAGCAGCCTCATAAAACGCCACTGAGTTCAATGGGTCTTAGACCTAAGTCTGCAAAGCCTTGTAGATTTACTTCAAAGTAAATCTCTTTGAGGACACACTGAACATCTGAAATCCAGTGAAACGTCTTTCATGGCCAACCTATATTTAGATGAATTCCTGCAAAGGTTTCTCTTCTGAGCTGCATAGGATCTTCCTCGGGGGTTGAGGACCTCCATTACTGTCTATGTAGGCTAGGGTGCTGAAAGTTATAGTTCAAAAAACTATGGAGGACTACAGATTCCCCCAGGTGCCCCACAGGTTTCAGATGCTATTCTGGTAAGAGGCATATATAGTCATGGGAGGATGTAGCTCAATAACTGAAGATTTCTTTTATGTATGTGTGCGTGTGTACATATATTTATATACACACACACACATACATACATATGCATACATATACATATACTTTATTAGAATTTTTCAGTATAGTAAAATATATAAAACAAACAAGAACAAAGATAGAAAATAAGAAATAGAGAAAAAGAGAGAAATTTTAAAAAAGGAAAAAACGCAATTATGCCTTCTGCCCTTCTTTCTGTCAAGTGATTATCATCTTAAAATTTTCCCCAACCTCTTTGTCCCTTTTTAATCCCCAAATCCTGAAATCATCAATTAATTTTTTTTTCTTCTTTCAACAAAAAGTCCATATAAGGTTTCCAGTCTTTCAAAAAAGTCTTTATTGTTTTTTCAGTAACTGAAGGTTTTTGAGGTAAAATCGATTATCTGGATTCTTTCAGTTCAAGGATGGTTTCAGGACGGAAAACTCTTGGCTACCTTGGTGGATGGCCTACCTTGGAAAATAGAAAAATGTGTCCCTGTTGGTTCTGCTCCTCTTCACACCGGCATTTGATATCCCTATGTGTCCTTCTGGGATGTTTGGCCAGTAGAGAATTTGAAAGTTCTTTTTGCAGTAATTCTGCTTTTAACTGTCTGAACTTTCCCATAAGATGGAGCTGGAGAACTATTGCTCAGTCATTAGTCTGTGGGTTACCTGGGTTTATTTTATCCCTTGGGCTTCAACTCTATGTGCAGCTAGAGAAGCAGATAATCTAGAACGGGGGGGGGGGGGGGGACTGGAGAGGGGAACTGGATCTTACCATCAGGCTCCAGATTCCCAGCTTTACATTTCTTCATCAACTGGCCCCAAGAAAGACATGGACATCTTACGTGGACCCAATGATAGACTGAATGTGAACTAAGAGGTTGAGTCTGGAGCTAGGCAAATACTTAATTAAATAGTTACTTAAAATATAAGGGGTGGGGGGAGGCATCCTGCTCTTGGATGGGTTTACCT